GTGAATATAAATTGTATGGTGATACTGAGTATCTTGCTGTATTTGCATTAACAGTGACCAGATTTCTCTACCACAAAAGGTCAGATACCAGGCATTACTATCTCTGTCATAAGTTAGGCCTTTGCAGTGGACGATAACAGAATAATATTATTAATTCGTATATTTTAACTAATTTGATTCGTTCAGGGATAGTCACATGTTAAACTATATTTTCGAAGGTAGACAGAAAACGGCGGATAGTAAAAAGCATATTGCATAGCAAAAAGCATATTGCACGGTTATTTTTAGAATATCTAAAAACCAATATACTTTGTGACGTCATGTAATGAATTTCATGATATTGTTAAAAGTTTTATTAAAAAATATCTTTGATCGATTATTTGAAGAAAAAAAAAACTTCAAATAAATAAGATGTTAAAAAACAAACATAAAAAATAAATGAAATAACAACTAATATGTTGTTATTGTGTAGGAGACAATATGATATCTATAAATTTCCAATAAAATCAAATGACGATTTTGATACAAATATGGTCGGAAATTAATAATATAACAATTATAGCCTATTTATGAGGTCAATACAGGATATATCGACCCAAAGAAGTATATCGACCTCGGACTTCGTCCTCAGTCAATATACTTCTTTCAGGTCAGTATATCCTTGTATCGACCTCATACCAAGGCTATAATTGTATAATATCACCGGCATATATTAAGCAATTCATTCTTATAGAAGTTTTAAAATAAATTAAACATAAAAAATCGAGGAATCACATTTAAATCTCAAAATCAACACACACAAAAAATTGAATCCATTTATGACATAAAACAAGTAGATAGTTACGGTTTCTGGGGGAAAAAATCTTTTAATTATTTTGTATTAGGTTTAACCATGTATCATAACCATAAAATACTGGATGTTTTTTTTTCATTAATCGAAGAAAAAAACCCAGAAAAAACCCACATTACAGCCAATAAACTAAAACAATTAATACTTCTATCTATTTGACAAAACAAAAACTATATAGAAAAAAAGAAATAATAATTCAGAAAACACAATCATCAATCATAGGCCGAAGTAATGGTCCGAGTTTGGTATAGGCCGAGTTAACCAGTAGCGTCATAATCGACCCAAAAATACAAATACAAAATGGAGTTGTTTCCCTTTCAGGTTCGGGCGACCAATTTTTTGGTAATTTCCACGATAAAAAGTTTTTGGCAAAGTTGTAAGAACAATTTTAAGTCAAATATGAAAGATTATTACATTTGGGACATAAAATAAGAAAGCGAATTTAATCACTTAGGCAGATTAAGGTTTGGTTTAAGAAAAACTTTTAGGTTCGGGTTACCACTTTTACCGAGGTGGAAATTAATAAACCTTAAATTTATCATTGTTAGTGATGTTTGGAAAAAAACCTTTTCATACATGAGATAAAATTTAATTATACATCAAATATATAAACGTTTGTAGAAAAAAACGAAACATAAAGGGCATAATATATGTAAAATAAATTTCCGGTTCGGCAAATTTCCGGCAAATTCCGGTTCGGGTTCGGGTTCGGGTTACCACTTTTAGGAGACATTATTAGGTAAATTTTGTATGATCTACGTGTAGTTTATTCGTATTCTATTACTCTTAAAATTATCGGCATGCATTATAATGTCAGAAGTTGGATTTTTAGTGACCAGAAAGGGGGTTTTTAGGGGGTGGAAGGTAAACATTAAATAAACAAAATATATCATTTTTTTCTGTAAAACTAGCACTGTAGCAGCATACATGTAAGTAGCTTTGTATTGATATCAAGTTATACCAACTGTTCAAGCTTGTGTTTTACCTTTTCTAATATAACAATGTGTATTTTTTTATAAATAGTATTTCAAAACACCTGTAAATGTTCAAGGATCACATGTATACACCTTATCGCTATTTAGTCCAATCCGGAAAAAACAGTCATTTAGACAACTTCCTGTTTGGGTCAACAGGCCGCAAACAAAGGTCATCAGTAACGAGCTGAGGGAGGGAAAAATTTAGAAAGCGACCAATAGGAAACTTTGATAGATTATGATCCACTTTTTCCAAACTCAAATTATAGTCAAAAAAATATTGTGTTTGAAGTATTTACGATGTTTTAAACAGGTCTCATTAAAAAGTATCATGCATGGTGCATTGTTTAAACAGGGTCCCAGATAGCGTCAACTGGATGAAAAAGTTGTGTAATTTTAGAACTTATCCGGAATGGAATAAATAGCGATTAGGTGTATTGGGCACAATCATTATCACAGCTGACTGACATTGTTTCTAAAAAAATTGTCATTGTTTTAGCATGAATTTGTGTTATAAAGTTTGTGTTGCTTTGTGGTTTCGTTTTACATTTTCAGGAAGACTACAAGTAAAGAGAATGTGAGTATGGCATTATTTAATAGATAGAAAAAAGAATTCCTTATTTTTTTTAATAATAATATGATCATAACAATGGAAAATTGGGGTCAAAATAATTTAAGAATTTAATAGATAAATAAAAAAAAAAATTAACTTTCATCTCCTACTTTAAGTTAACTTGATGTAAATGGGAGTTACAAATGTATGTAACAAATGTAAGTGGCTCATAATTTAAAATTAGCTGTTTGTTATCAATGTGTTGTTTTACTACATGCATATACCCACTCCAGGGTTAATGAAGCACAAATTGAAATAATTTAAACCTAAGAAGATGAGGTATTATGATTGCCAATGTCACTACTCTCCATTGAAAACATAAAGTATAAAAATAAGCAATATGCATGACGGTCACAGTACAGCCTTCAACATATGGAGCCTTGACTCACACAACAAAGTTCCTTAAGTAGTAAATACAACCAATTATAGGTCACACCTGCAACATGGAGACTTGTTTGTTTGCCATAGACCAACTAACTCAATGAGTGTTATTGCATGTGGAACAAAGATTTCTTGTTAAACGCTATTAAATAAAATCTTAATAAGCCTGGCCTGAATTATTATTTATAAATGTATGTAAAGTTATACAAGTACTATCCCCACTGCAATGTTAACAAAAAATAAAGCAGAATACATGTATGTGGTAGTTTTATTGCCCAAATAAAAAAAAAAATGTTTCCAAGCACATGTGTGTAATATTTTTAAGATCAGTTTCATGCTTTGTTTCCAGGTGATCGAAGTAGACTAAAGGTAGATGCAGTACCATCAGTGTTTAGCTTTCGTCCCAAAATAAATATTGTAAGCCCTATAGCTTTAAGAATGCAATCGAGAAAAGCTATGAGTGTGGACAAAGCTCTTGACCAAGGAATACAACAAGAGGTTGAAGTCGAGTCTACACAGAATAGTACCAATATTTCCATACTTTCAGAGCCTGACGTGCATGTACCCAAGAACATGGAGATCAAGTGTGAGTTACTTGGTCGGTATTCATTTGAGAATTTCATGGACAATCCAAAGGCAGTTTCATTTTATACAGGTTTTAAATCTTATGAACATTTCATGTTCTTATTCCATGCACTAGGTCCTGCTGCATATGAACTCAAATATAAATGTTCAACCCTTCATCCATCTGATCAGCTATTTATAACATTGATTAAACTCAGATGTGCCAAAGAAGATGTAGAATTATCCTTGCTATTTAATTTATCTGTTTCTACCATTGCTAGGATTATTAATACCTGGATTAACTTCCTTTATTTTCAACTGAATGAATTAAATATTTGGCCATCAAGAGACATTGTTGATAAGCATATGCTAGTAGATTTTCAAAGAAAATTTCCAAGGACTCGAGTTATCCTTGATGCTACTGAGATTCCAATCCAGAAATCTCAAGACGTAAACATTCAGAGTGTGACTTGGTCTTCCTACAAGCACAAAAATACTGTGAAAACTATGGTCGGGTGTACCCCAAGAGGTGCTATATCGTATATTTCAGACTCCTATGGGGGATCTACCAGTGACAGGCAGATTATTGAAGACTCAAGTCTTTTAGATAATACCAGGTTTGAATCTGGGGATAGTATTATGGCGGATCGAGGCATTATGGTTCAAGACCTCTTTGCAAACAATGATGTTTATGTTAATACGCCTACAATGCTGAAAGGAAAATAACAACTAGAGCCAGAAGAAATTGTGAGGGATAGACGTGTTGCATCCAAGCGTATCCATATAGAACATGTAATAGGATTAGCCAAACGTTTCAAAATTCTTAAGTCTGAATTACCAAACACCAAACTGTCACTGAGTAACAGAATTGTATTTGTTTGTTTTGCATTGACAAATTTCAAAAATGCAATTGTTGATAAATTTGCCTAGATTTTCAAAGGGTCCCATTTTTATTTTAATATTGTAATTTAACAAAAGAAAGTAAGTAAAATTGACCTTATTTTTATAGTTTCAAAGTATACTTCCTGAGATGTTTCCACTAATTACATAAAATGTAATTATACTTTTTAACTAGTTTTGGCTTGTCGTGATATGAATATTTCGGTGCCTAATGCTCTTTATTGCTTTGAGTATGTTTATTTGGTTTTTCAATGTTTCAACATCAATCAATATTGAAGAGATTGTGATAATCTGAAAAGGTGCTTTTTATCAAGTCCAGCATTATTGGTATCTAGACGAATAAAAATGCACCCTCATCTGTAATATGGAACTTATATGTAATTTTTTATCTAGGTTAAGGGCTGGTTAAAATGTAGGAGGATTTTACAAGTTTGTTTTTTTGTAAATGTAAAAGGGGATTCAATTTTTGTATTAACGTAAAATAGGGTATCAATTTTTGCAGATGGAAATATTATAATTACATATTTCACGGGGGGTCAAATATCGTAAATTGAGAATTATCCACAAAAAGAGGGGGGCTGAATTGATTCTAAATTAGAAGGGAGGATAACAAATTTTGCATAAATTTCAAAGGGTGGTTCAAAAATGCACATAGGTGACACTTTCACAATGACCAGCCCAAACTCACTGATAAAAAAAAATAACAATATAAAAAATATAAAGTCTCAATAATTTATTAATTTTTTTATAGCATTGAGGCAATATATGGCCTAAAGTGTTTGGAGTAAAATAATTCCAACTTTGGAAGCAGACAACCAACACAGTAGTCATGATTAATTTCAATTTTCTCAACAAAGAGGTCTTTAAATTTAAACAATGAAATAACAATGTTCTCTCTGTGATAAAAAAAGTTGACCCTGAATTTGGTCGTAATAGTTTGATGTTTTTCTTAATGTTATATTGTTATCTTTGCCATATTCCAAAAAAGAAAAATTGACTCCTGGCGCAATACTCTCATCTCGTCCTGTATATGGACACTTCACCTCCACAACACAATCATCTCCAATTAAAGCATCTGGGGAAGCTCCAAGAAATGGTTTGTCAGCAGAAATAAACAGTCCACATGGTTGACATTTCAATTGAAACTTTTGTTCAAACTGTGATATTGCCTTCTGCTCGTACATTTTACCATGCAATACAGATTTTACATTTAGGAACTTTTGAGAGCACAATGATTCACATAGTTTTTGTACATTTCTCCTTGTGGTCATCTTTGAAATTTCTCCAAACCTAGATGCTGTTTTCCTCCACTGTCTTAAATAAAACCATTTCTTGTTGCTGGATTGCCCTCTTGTCTCCTTTTCAGCCAATTTTGCCTGTTGTACTGTAACCTAAAATAGCAGTGAAATCAATATAAAATCTTGACTTTAAGGAATTTTCAGCATGTAAATGTAGCAAGTAGTTTTTTTCATTTAATATAGTTTAAAAGATATCTCATATAGTTTATAAGATATCTCATATAGTTTATAAGATATCTCATATAAACTATATAAGATTTCTTAAAAACTGTATAAGATTTCTTAAAAACTATATAAGATATCTAATAAACTATATAAAATTTTAATAAACTATATAAGATATGTTATAAACTATATAAGATATGTTATAAACTATATAAGATATCTCATAAACTATATAAGATATCTTATAAACTATATAAGATATCTCATATAGTTTGTAAGATATCTCATATAATCTATAAGATATCTTATAAAGAAAACTATATGAGATATCTTATAAAGAATATTATATGAGATATCTTATAAACTATATATATATAAGACATGTTTGAAAAGATTTATAAGATAAAATATTTGATTATTTTTTATATAAGATATTTTATATAGTTTATAGGATATCTCATGAATTCACTCAATCCTTTTAATTTTATTAAGAAACAAAAACATTCATCCAATCATAAGATGTGTTATATTGAAATATAAGTTATTTGGTACCAGGTACTGAATATACAGACAAACATGTTTAAAAGTGTGAAAACTATCCCATATTGAAAATAAAAAAAAGACAACTATTTTGAGTACAACAAAGATCAGTAAATTGTCTGGTTATTGGTACCCTATATGCTATATGCTAGCTAAATATTTCTTATTCGGGGCTTGTGAATTGTAAAATTTAAGTATAAAAATTATTTAAGAGTTTTTATACATTAATATTTATTGTACATAAGATATTTTGGAGTTGCCTTTTATTGGCACTGATTTACATATAAATTGATACTGCAAATGAATTTTTCATCTTACCATTAAAGCTCTGTCAACCCAATATTCAGCAAATGGTAACGACAGATAGTCATGATCAAGCTGGGCAGTCTGAAATACAAATTTAAAATAATATTAAAGAAGCCATGTGCATAAATCTAACTACAATGTATATGATATGACTCATGAGTTATTTTTTAAACATGGAGTTATCTACCTTTGACTAACAAAATTTATATAGATATATACTACATATTACAGTGAATTTGGCAATATGAAAACTCAAGGCTACTTGCTTTCTTTTGTTAATATATATTTTTTTAGATTGTATTATATGAGCACCAGAAATTTGATTTTACAAGACAAGTGGTATGTTTAAAAGTCGACAGGCAATGTAAATTTTCCAAAAATCAAGAACATGCAAACTTTTTGTCTTTATCATGTGTGTGATTCAAACAGGTTTATTACTATTATATGACTGTATAAATTGTTAATGTTGTTAAAAGTTAATTTTATTCTATGTATTACCTAAAATTTGTTAATTTTTATTTTATTTAAAATAAAAATATTTTTTCAAGTTTTTCTTATGAATCATCAACTTCCATTGTACCTCTATATCAGCTGCAGGAAAAATATATCTCAGTGTAAGGTCTTGAGATGATTGAGAGCAAAAATTAATCATGGTGTTTCTGACATGGTCTGTAAACCCTTCCATATTTCTGTACTTCTGTGGTCTTGGGTCCTCTATTTCTGTTGGTTTCCTTTTAGCAAGTTTTTCAATTTTCACTGGAGCACCTAAAATATAAAATAAAGGAAAATGAAGGAAAACAAAAAACAAAAACTCTAGTTAAAGGCCTGGTGGAGATATAGTTTCTGAACTTTGACATATGTTTCCATATATGTTTAACTCTTTAGAACAATAATGACGTAAAACTTCATGTACTGTCGCTTTATGGTGGGGCATAAACATATAAAGAAATGAAACTTGTTTATTCTCTCAATTCTTTGGTTGAAATAAATAGCTTTTACAGGACACTCAGGTAAAAGAAGTTACCATTGTAATATGTCTTTGGTTGTTGAAAAGTCTGTAAACCTTCTGTACATGATTTCTGTATTGAAATTTCTCCAGTATTAGAGAAAATATCAGCCATTAACAGCACTGCAGCAACATGCTTGCAGGTGGCATTGGGACCCTTTCCTGCTGGACATTCACACTTTGAATTAACTGGGCTGCCAGATTTGTCAAGTTTGATATTATAGTTGTAAGATACCTGCAAATAAAACTAGAGGCTCTAAAGAGCCTGTGTCGCTCACCTTGGTCTATGTGCATATTAAACAAAGGACACAGATGGATTCATGACAAAATTGTGTTTTGGTGATGGTGATGTGTTTGTAGATCTTACTTTACTGAACATTCTTGATGCTTACAATTATCTCTATCTATAATGAACTTGGCCCAGTAGTTTCAGTGGAAATTATTTTGTAAAAATTTACAAAATTTATGAAAATTGATAAAAATTGATTATAATGGGCAATAACTCCTTAAGGGGTCAATTGACCATTTTGGTCATGTTGACTTATTTGTAGGTCTTACTTTGCTGTACATTATTGCTATATACAGTTTATCTCTATCTATAATAATATTCAATATAATAACCAAAAGCTGAAAAAATTTCTAAAAATTACCAATTCAGGGGCAGCAACCCAACAACGGGTTGCTTGAATGGTCTGAAAATTTAAGGGCAGATAGACCTTGACCTAATGAACAATTTTGTTTTAAAAGATTTGCTCAAAATGCTTTGGGTTTAGATATATGAGCCAAAAACTGCATTTTACCCTATGTACTATTATTAGCCATGTCGGCCATCTTGGTTCACGGGGGGGGGTCATCAGACATAATTTTTAAACTACATACCCTAATGATGATTGTTTACAACTTTGGTTAAATTCATCCTAGTATTTTCAGAGGAGAAGATTTTTGTAAAAGATAACAAAAATTTACGAAAAATTGTTAAAAATTGACTATAAAAGGGCAATAACTCCTTAAGGGGTCAACTGACCATTTTGGTCATGACTTATTTGTAGAACTTACTTTGCTGAACATTATTGCTGTTTACAGTTTATCTATATCTATAATAATATTCAAGATAATAACCAAATACAGCAAAATTTCCTTAAAATTACTAATTCAGGGGCAGCAACCTAACAACGGGTTGTCCGATTCATCTGAAAATTTCAGGGCAGATAGATCTTGACCTAATAAACATTTTTATCCCATGTCAGATTTGCTCTCAATGCTTTTGTTTCAGAGATATAAGCCAAAATCTACATTTTACCCCTATGTTCTATTTTTAGCCATGGCGGCCATCTTGGTTGGTTGACCGGGTCACCAGACACATTTTGTAAACTAGATACCCTAGTTAAGTTTGGTTAAATTTGGCCCAGTAGTTTCAGAGGAGAAGATTTTTGTAAAAGTTTACGGACGACGGACGCCAAGTGATGAGAAAAGCTCACTTGGCCCTTTGGGCCAGGTGAGCTAAAAATTATGTGAAGCTTAATTTTAAAAATAAATCAGATGGTTTTATTTGAAAATGCCAACTAAAACATAAATTGGTTTGGCAGAGCATTCACCCAATATAAGTAAACTGAAAGAGATACAATAATGGTTAATAGAAAAGGTATTACAGAGAATAATCATGAAAATTGGAAAATATGAAGCAGAAATTATTAACACTTATTTGATCTTAGACGAGGTAATTCTCTCAAATAGAATATTTCACATATAACAATCTAATATACATTATATAAATGTCATGAGGATGGGACAAAACTGTTTATTGATGCATACCTGTTTTTTCATGGCTGCACCAACAATACCACTTAGAAAAATACCATCAACAAGAATAAGTACAGAACAAGCCAGGATTTTTTTCGCTTGTAGCAAATCTCTGCCTTTCTCCAATGCCTTAATGTCGCCATTCACCTGCTTATCGCCTGTAAAAATTATACATAAATATAATAAATAAATAAATGATTTGGTAAATACGTTGAAGGTTTTCGATTTATGAGTCCACAATGCTCTTCAGCTGGATAATTTATGTGGCATATTACCATTTTCATTTGTGTAATTTCCAGACGAAAAGCGCGTATAACACGCAAAATTATAAGCATGGTGCCTGATGAGTTGTTTGGTTTTTAACAATTCAGCCATTCTTCGTTAACTTAACTCTCTTTTTTAAATAAAAAATCATTAAATTAATCATTCATCCTAGACAATACCGACAAACTTGCAGATTTTTAGTTTGGTTTTTTTTTCTAAATATAAGCATAGTTGTTAATTTCTGTGTCATTTTGGTCTCTTGTGGAGAGTTGTCTCATTGGCAATCATACCACATCTCCTTTTTTTATATATAGTAAAATGATGTCCCATATTAGAGTAAAAATCTGTTTATGGCGCTTCGTTGATTGGACCTGATCTGATAAACAATAATATAAGTTGCAGATCACCTTAAAATTGTTGACGTTCGTAAATCTTGAACAAAAATGAAATCAATGAAAAAAAAAATACATATTTATAAAAAGATTTTAACCTGCTAATTATGAGCTTTTATCATAGTTTAGCTCTACTTTGATTAAGGAAAAGCAAATGTATACTTAATTCACTAAAGCTATAAGATAAAAATTATATAAGATCCATAAAGCAATGGAAATCAACATTGTATATTTATATAAACGATAATACTTGTAACAACATATATAAATAATATTATAAAAATGATTTTTGGGTTTTTCAGAGGACATTTACCGGTGACAATTACAGAATTTTTTTAATATGGGCGCCGCTATATTTTTTGGTTCTTCATGCAAAGCATTATAGCAATTACTGATTGATGACTACTTGTTTGGTAACTTCACGGGGGGGGGGGGGGGGGAGTCTCTTCCTATATGAAGGTATATACATATGTGCCGCTGGAATGGGTCCCTTTTGTGATACGTCAAATATATCAATGGGGTGCAATTTTACCGAGGAAATATATCAATAGGTAGTAATTGACCAATTGTGATATTTCAATGGTTCATAATTTTTCAGTTTGTTGTGCAACGATCTTCACAGAATTTCCCAAACTCTTTGTCATTAAAATTTCCACATCTGCTGAAGCTTCTTGACACAAGTTTTGTTATTGATCAAATTTTATTACATTGTCACAATTGATAATCTTTACCCATGAATATATGAATGTTGAGACCCCCCGTGGGTAACTTTCACTTTAAAATACTTCCCCATCTATAACATGGAGATACTAACCTGCTAATCTAAATAAAAAATAGCCATCAATTTGCTCTCTGGTCACTTTGGAAAATACCAATCTATGATCTGCTATAAGCTGCTTATATCCATGTTTTGGCCATTCTATATCTGTAGCTTCTGGAATTTCTATGATGGGGGGTTTGAAATTATGATTTCTGTCATATGCAACCAGTCTATAAGCATAATTATTGTGTGTGAATTCAAAATTAAAACAATTTATTTCTTATGTAATAATTAGGACATTTAAAAGCATTTATTTATTTGGTTAAAATTTTGTTGTGAAGAATTAATATTTTATTATATTGATACAATATAAAGACAATGATTATTTTTTGCATGTTATTGTTTTGTTCATAAGCTTCACAGGCACTTGTTTCTATCACTTGGAAGGTCTTCTATCCATGTTATTGTATAATACAAGAACATGGAAAGTAGACCTTCCCATTGATAGAAACAAGTGCCTGTGATAAGATTGTTCTATATTTCAACTAAATCAAATTGTTCAAAAAAAGTACCTTGTTTAGATCAAGAGAAAAGAAAAACCATTGACAAAATATCATTACCAAATATACAAAATTATACTTTAGACATTTCCGCTTCTTTTGGTGCCAAGTTCATCAAAATCTAACAATGAATACGAACAAAATATTTTTTATATGAAATGTTTACAACATAAAAAATTTGACAATTACTTTTGACGTTTTTTCCACGTACTCACTGTACATACATGACATAAGCAGACTTTAAAGTCGTGAGCAGCCTATAAAAAGTTGTGCATTTGACATGATTTAGTTCATCATATACCTATCAATCAGATCTGCCTTTCTTCCTGTGATTACTGTACCCTTAATGCTCAGTTCAGCCTTCAATTTCGGGACGGTCCACAGGCTGTATTTTGCCGCCGCCATAGTTTACATTAGTTACAAGCGTCTCGTTGAAAATAAAACGCACGCTTAACCACCGCTAACGTCTAGGCGGATCCGGCGATCAAAATTACGTGATTGACGTCACAATTGAAATTGCACCGTCAGTTGTGTTTTGAACAACGCCGGAAATCAAAATGGACATTTGTGTTCGTGTTGTTCGCTAGGAAATTAAATAAAATCATTCTAAAAGTAAGTTTACATGTATCTGTTAATTTTTTAATCGTGAAATGGTTGATTTTCTAAAACGTTTTGACTTCATCAAATCAAAATGGATGCCTTTCGAACGCCTATTCTAATGCAATTATTTTGTATCAATGGTTCTGATTGGATGACAGTAAGTGTAAAATTCTCTATCTCCTTGTCTGTAACTAAGGAAGCCGACATTTTGACGTTTGACGCCGGAAGCATACCTATGACGTCACCTAGTTTAGGGGCCAAGGAAGATAACATCTTTTCGCGGAATTTTCTTTAACGAAACCCACTTTGGTTTTATCATGTATATCTATTATATAGTCATTTTATAATATTTACTGTTTGCAAAATTATAAATTATTCTAAATAATAAGGATGTTCTTGTCCCAGGCAGAAAATCCTGGCCGTGTTAGGCGCAACTTTTTGGAAGTTTTGGTCCTCGGTGCTCTTCAGCTTTGTACTTGTTTTGGCTTTCAAACTTTTTTTATCTGAGCGTCACTGGTTAGTCTTGTGTGGACGAGACGCACGTCTGGCGTATTGAATTTTAAGCCTAGTACCTTCTGCTAGCTATTATTCGTGTGTTTCTTTGTCCTATATGTTCTCCATTTATTTGTATTGTGGTCCTGTCATGTGATGTTGTCGTTTAGGTGTTGTGTTTGACGTTGCCATAAAAGCGGGAGGTTTGGCATGCCACAAAACCAGGTTCAACCCACCATTTTTTTCTTAAAATGTCCTGTACCAAGTCAGGAAAATGGCCATTGTTATATTATAGTTCGTTTCTGTGTGTGTTACATTTTAATGTTGTGTTTTTGTTGTGTCGTTGTTCTCCTCTTATATTTGATGCGTTTCCCTCAGTTTTAGTTTGTAACCCGGATTTGTTTTTATCTCTATCGATTTATGAATTTCGAACAGCGTTATACTACTGTTGCCTTTATTTTACACTGAAATAATGATTGAAATTGAATTATGTACTTGTTTTGCTACGCGTCGCCAGGTAAAATAAATTTGCGACAGTAAAACTACCGATGGACGTCCGCAAAGCTTCAAATACAATACAGTTATCTCTTAATTATAGGTCCGCTTCAAAGTACAAAAGTTCTAAATTTTCCTATTAGAATCAAAATAATTCTATCATGCCATGCTCTATGCTCATTTTAACATGGGTAGGCAAATTTTAGTACAGATTGAAAACAGATTGTAAAGGGTTCAATAGAAGCAGTGTCCCGCTAACAACTACTGCTGTCAGTGCAAAAGTTTAATATTGATTAACAAAAACCTGAGTCCATTTATCAGTAAAATATAGTAAATAAGTAAAAAAAGTCTAAATTTTTCTCAGAATATTCTCTCTTGATTTTGGAGAAGCTTCTGTACAAATTTAAAAAAAAAATCGTAAAGGGTTCTGCAGAACCCTGTGTCTTGCCTGCGATTGCTGCTGTCAGTGTTAAAGTGTGACATTGACTTAAAAAGCGAGTCCAGTTATCAGTCAAATACAGAATTTTAAAAAAAATCAAACTTTTTCTTAAGAAGCGATTCATCGTCTTGAAGATTTGCTTCTGTCCAAGATTCATAACAATCCATGAAGGTTTACGAAGTCCAATCTAACAGAAAAATACTGAAAATGAAAAAAATATATTTTCAAAAGTTTGCTTCAGACATTATCTCTTAATCATAAAAAAGCTTCTGCCAAAGTTTCATAAAATTCTATGAAGGTTTAATAAAGTAATTGATGTGTAACAAACTTTAACCCCAGACTGTTTTTATTTGTTAAACTTCAAAAATTATCAGTTGCCGTAATATGGAAAAATGAAAATAAATATTAATTATCAAAATTTTGCTCTGAATACTGTATTTTGGTCACAACTAAGCTTCTGTCCAAATTTCAAAATTTCAAAAATGCCAATAAATTTGAATACCAAATATCATTGTCTTAAAATTAGCGCAAACTAATATATGTAAACTAAGCAAAAGTTTCAAAGTCAATAGACCATAACTGAGGGGGCGGGGCCAAATAATCTCCATGGTAATGAGATGTGCCAATGCTAATACAACTGCATACCAAATATCATTGACCTACCACTAGTGGTTCACCATAAACTAGACCTAATCACAAACTAATACATTGTTGACGCCGCCACCGACGCCGGAAACAGCATACCTATGTCTCGCTTTTTGACTCCGTCAAGGGGAGACAAAAAACTAAGTCCATTTATCAGTAAAATATAGAAAAATGAAAATAAATATTTTCAAAATTTTGCACTGGATACTGTATTTTGGTCATAAACAAGCTTCTGTCCAAATTTCCTAAAATTCCATGAAGGTTTGACAAAGTTATTGATGTCTCAATAAACTTCCACCACAGACTGAACCTAAATGTTGAAGCCACCGATGGAATCTAAGCTATGTCTCGCTTTCGTGACATAAATGTTGAAGGCTAGAAAAAAATTCATTGAGGACTTTGACAAAGATATTCAAGTTTTGAAATCTTTATAATCACGGACTGTACCAAAATATTGACTGCAATTAAGATATGCCAATATTCATTAGTAAAATACAAACTAAATGGAGTGGGGTCAAAATATTGACCCTAGATACTAATAGGTATAATAAAACCAGGTAAAACATGGAATCAAGAGATATTAGTCCAAGGTAAAATATGGAAAATAAGCAAAAAAAAATTCACTCCTGAAATTAAAATGGTGATTCTTTAACATGTAAACTATGTCAAAGAGGTATAAAACCATTGTATATATATATGTTAAAATATACTTTTTCACTTTTTTTGGTCTTTTAGAAAATGTTGTTTGTGCTGTATTTAGACCCCTCTACCAAGAAATTTGTTTTGCATGCACACGTATAAAAATGGCGGTTTTTATCCAACGCAATCATAAGTTTGAACGTTGTTTTAATTTAGACTTGTTTATATTTTTTCGTTTGGGCTTGTATTATATTTGCTTTCGGGTTTATATGATCCGTTCATCCTATTTCGACTCTTCAAAATTCAAGAGTCAATCCTAAATTGAGGTAAATTATATGGCCTTCCAAATACCGTTTCGATTCCTAACATCACTGAAGAGACATTAATTGTCGAAATCCGGATATGGTGTACAAATTTTTGCACCTCATGTTTGCGGTATACCATCTTTTCCGCAAGTTTATTGTTATCTGTTTGATATTAAATTAATAGTAAAGATCCATTTTGTTACATCTTGTGATCCGTTTATTTGGCAATCGCCAATGGCAGTCAGCAGGGTTTTAGAACATCCGTTGTTCGACCTGTTAGTCAAATGCGTTTTGTTAAAATATACCTTTTCACTTTTTTGGTCTTTTGGAAAATGTTGTTTGTGCTGTCTTTTGACTCCTCTACCAAGAAATTTGTTTTGCATGCACACGTATAAAAATTGCGGTTTTTATCCAACGCAATCGTAGATTTGAACGTTGTTTTCAATTCAGACTTGACCATATTTTTTCGTTTGGGCTTGTATTATATTTGCCTTCGGGTTTATATGATCCGTTCATCCTATTTCGACTCTTCAAAATTCAAGAGTCAATCCCAAATTGAGGTAAATGATATGGCCTTCCAAATACCGTTTCGATTCCTAACATCACTGAAGAGACATTAATTGTCGAAATCCGGATATGGTGTACAAATTTTTGCACCTCATGTTTGCGGTATACCATCTTTTCCGCAAGTTTATTGTTATCTGTTTGATATTAAATTAATAGTAAAGATCCATTTTGTTACATCTTGTGATCCGTTTATTTGGCAATCGCCAATGGCAGTCAGCAGGGTTTAAGAACATCCGTTGTTCGACCTGTTAGTCAAATACGTTTTGTTAAAATATACTTTTTCACTTTTTTGGTCTTTTGGAAAATGTTGTTTGTGCTGTCTTTTGACTCCTCTACCAAGAAATTTGTTTTGCATGCACACGTATAAAAATTGCGACTTTTATCCAACGCAATATAGGTTTGAACGTTGTTTTCAATTTAGACTTGTTTATATTTTTTCGTTTTGGCTTCTATTATATTTGCCTTCGGGTTTATATGATCCGTTCATCCTTTTTCGACTCTTCAAAATTCAAGAGTCAATCCCAAATTAAGGTAAATCATATGGCCTTCCAAATACCGTTTTGATTCCTAACATCACTGAAGAGACATTAATTGTCAAAATCCGGATATGGTGTACAAATTTTTGCACCTCATGTTTGCGGTATACGATCTTTTCCGCAAATTTATTGTTTTCTGTTTGATATTAAATTAATAATAAAGATCCATTTTGTTACATCTTGTGATCCGTTTATTTGGCAATCGCCAATGGCAGTCAACAGGGTTTAAGAACATCCGTTGTTCGACCTGTTAGTCAAATGCGTTTTGTTAAAATATACCTTTTCACTTTTTTGGTCGTTTGGAAAATAGTGTTTGTTCTGTATTTAGACCCCTCTACCAAGAAATTTGTTTTGCATGCAGACGTATAAAAATTGCGGTTTTTATCCAACGCAATCGTAGGTTTGAACGTTGTTTTCAAATCAGACTTGATTATATTTTTTCGTTTGGGCTTGTATTATATTTGCCTTCGGGTTTATATGATCCGTTCATCCTATTTCGACTCTTTAAAATTCAAGAGTCAATCCCAAATTGAGGTAAATCATATGGCCTTCCAAATACCGTTTCGATTCCTAACATCACTGAAGAGACATTAATTGTCGAAATCCGGATATGGTGTCCAAATTTCTGCACCTCATGTTTGCGGTATACCATCTTTTCCGCAAGTTTATTGTTTTCTGTTTGATATTAAATTAATAGTAAAGATCCATTTTGTTACATCTTGTGATCCGTTTATTTGGCAATCGTCAATGGCAGTCAGCAGGGTTTAAGAACACCCGTTGTTCGACCTGTTAGTCAAATACGTTTTGTTAAAATATACTTTTTCACTTTTTTGGTCTTTTGGTAAATGTTGTTTGTGTTGTCTTTTGACTCCTCTACCAAGAAATTTGTTTTGCATGCACACGTATAAAAATTGCGATTTTTATCCAACGCAATATAAGTTTGAACGTTGTTTTCAATTTAGACCTGTTTATATTTTTTCGTTTGGGCTTGTATTATATTTGCCTTCGGGTTTATATGATCCGTTCATCCTATTTCGACTCTTCAAAATTCAAGAGTCAATCCCAAATCAAGGCAAATCATATGGCCTTCCAAATACCGTTTTGATTCCTAACATCACTGAAGAGACATTAATTGTCAAAATCCGGATATGGTGTACAAATTTTTACACCTCATGTTTGCGGTATACCATCTTTTCCGCAAGTTTATTGTTTTCTGTTTGATATTAAATTAATAATAAAGATCCATTTTGTTACATCTTGTGATCCGTTTATTTGGCAATCGCCAATGGCAGTCAGCAGGGTTTAAGAACATCCGTTGTTCGACCTGTTAGTCAAATGCGTTTTGTCAAAATATACCTTTTCACTTTTTTGGTCGTTCTGAAAATAGTGTTTGTGCTGTATTTAGACCCCTCTACCAAGAAATTTGTTTTGCATTCACACGTATAAAAATTGCGGTTTTTATCCAACGCAATCATAGGTTTGAACGTTGTTTTCAATTTAGACTTGTTTAGTTTTTTCGTTTGGGCTTGTATTATATTTGCCTTCGGGTTTATATGATCCGTTCATCCTATTTCGACTCTTCAAAATTCAAGAGTCAATCCCAAATTGAGGTAAATGATATGGCCTTCCAAATACCGTTTCGATTACTAACATCACTGAAGAGACATTAATTGTCGAAATCCGGATATGGTGTACAAATTTTTGCACCTCATGTTTGCGGTATACCATCTTTTCCGCAAGTTTATTGTTTTCTGTTTGATATTAAATTAATAATAAAGATCCATTTTGTTACATCTTGTGATCCGTTTATTTGGAAATCGCCAATGGCAGTCAGCAGGGTTTAAGAACATCCGTTGTTCGACCTGTTAGTCAAATGCGTTTTGTCAAAATATACCTTTTCACTTTTTTGGTCGTTCTGAAAATAGTGTTTGTGCTGTATTTAGACCCCTCTACCAAGAAATTTGTTTTGCATGCACACGTATAAAAATTGCGGTTTTTATCCAACGCAATCATAGGTTTGAACGTTGTTTTCAATTTAGACTTGTTTAGTTTTTTCGTTTGGGCTTGTATTATATTTGCCTTCGGGTTTATATGATCCGTTCATCCTATTTCGACTCTTCAAAATTCAAGAGTCAATCCCAAATTGAGGTAAATCATATGGCCTTCCAAATACCGTTTCGATTACTAACATCACTGAAGAGACATTAATTGTCGAAATCCGGATATGGTGTACAAATTTTTGCACCTCATGTTTGCGGTATACCATCTTTTCCGCAAGTTTATTGTTTTCTGTTTGATATTAAATTAATAATAAAGATCCATTTTGTTACATCTTGTGATCCGTTTATTTGGCAATCGCCAATGGCAGTCAGCAGGGTTTAAGAACATCCGTTGTTCGACCTGTTAGTCAAATGCGTTTTGTCAAAATATACCTTTTCACTTTTTTAGTCGTTCTGAAAATAGTGTTTGTGCTGTATTTAGACCCCTCTACCAAGAAATTTGTTTTGCATGCACACGTATAAAAATTGCGGTTTTTATACAACGCAATCATAGGTTTGAACGTTGTTTTCAATTTAGACTTGTTTAGTTTTTTCGTTTGGGCTTGTATTATATTTGCCTTCGGGTTTATATGATCCGTTCATCCTATTTCGACTCTTCAAAATTCAAGAGTCAATCCCAAATTGAGGTAAATGATATGGCCTTCCAAATACCGTTTCGATTACTAACATCACTGAAGAGACATTAATTGTCGAAATCCGGATATG